AAGCTTTTAATCCTTTAAAAAAATGTTTTTACAGCATCTAAAAATTCATATAAATATTACTTTCTGTCATTTAGCCCTGTTTTCTCCTCATTTGTTCTACTTGGTAGATCGAAAAGGAACCATTCTGATTTCTCTACTCAGGATTAGTCACTGTACTTTTTTTTATTTTTTTTTATTAATAGATAAAGCTGGCCAAAAAAAACAAAAACAAAATGATGAGTCACTGTAAACCAGCCATGGATGTCCTGGTGAGGTTAGGATATGAAAAACAGCAGAAGATGACCAAAAAAAAAGAAGAACCATCTAAAAATGCATCCTGCGATGCAAATATTCAAGGATTTTTGTTGTCATAGAATCTCACATTTACATTTATGTCTTATGAAATTTGGACTTAGTTTGGTCCCATTTTAAGAAGTTTAATATTTCAGAAAAAGAAAGAAGAAGCTGATTTAAGTGCAGTTAGAGCTCAGCAGTCAAACAGCTGATGTGCAGAAATATGTCTTTCAGAGTATGCAGTTTAAATGCCATCTGATTATTAATTGATGAATCGAAAAAAAAAAGATGAGGTCAACTTTGACCTTTTAACATGGCGGAGAGCAGAGATGGGTAGTAACTACTAACATTTACTCAACAACACTTACTTGAGTAACTTTTTGAAAAAAATAATCATATTTTAACTTGGGTATAATTAAAAAATACAATAGTGTAAAACGGGTTAAGTATTTCTACTCTTAATAGAGTAAAATTTCTGGCTAATCCATTTTGTGAGTAACTTCACTCAATGAAGCTTTAATATTATTTAAAATTCACTGCATGCAGGAAACTAAAAACATCACATCAAACAAAAACAACCAATCCTGTGCGATGGCAGCAAAATCGATTCAACATGTCGTGCAGCTTTAGTTCAGACAGAGGTGGATCTGGATCATCTGGACCAGAACTGTTCTGAATGAGTTCTGAAAGCTTTGGTGCAACTTTTAAAGATGACTCTCCTCCATGAAACCAAAGATTAAAATGGAAGCAGCACCAATGATCTTCATTAAAACAAACAAAACTTGAAACATAAAAAAAAACGAGCGCTGAATTAAAACTAAATACAGCTGATGGAGGACAAACGGGATGGACTCGGATCTACAAAGTCTACACAGAAAGCCAAACGTTGACACAGGAAGGACCGTCTGCTTGTTAGTGAGCCGACACACAACTAGAACTTACCAACAGCTTGGACAGCTAGAGAGGATGGAAGAGCGAGAGAAGGATTCAGATCGGATCAAAGGGAGGACTGGTTAGGAACCGTGAGAGCAGAACCGCGGGGAAACATACCTGGATGTTGGTGGGGTCCTTGTAGGACTCATCGGAGGCCGTCTGGAGTTTCTCGCTGATCCAGGCCTCGATCTCGTCCACGTCGCGGCTGAACTGCTGCAGGGTCTGGGACTCTCCCAGCTTGGAACGCTTCTCGATCATCTGGATCTTCAGCGCGCGCCACCTGGAAAAGAGCCCGAACCGTCGTGTCAGGTTCCCAAACAACAGCTGGAGCAAACTTCACCAAGATCCTTATCATCTAATCTGTGAACAATTGTGGCTTTTATTTCTAAGACTATTTGTGGGCTTTTATTTTGAAATGCAGATATTTCTTACAGGTTTAGCTCTGGAAGACTTGAGTGAAGTTGCCCCCCCCACCTTCTTCAAATCAGACAAAATTAGTGTCAAACGTTTGTGCAGCAAAAATTTTCGTTTGTGCCGCTATCGTTTTTAAGATATAAGGAAATTTTTCTAGAGGTCATCAAAGGTCAGTGAACATTTGTTCATTCTGAAACTCTGAATTTCATATAAATTATAAGTTGCTAACCTTTGATTATATAATTTTAAACTGTAAAAAAATGATAGCGGCACAAACGAACATTTTTGCTGCACAAACGGAGCTGAGTTAAATTACACCCATTTCGTCTGATTTGAAGAAGGTGGGGGGGCTGGTTGACCTTTGATGACCTCTAGAAACATCTCTTTCTATCTTTAAAATGATAGTGGCACAAAAGAACATTTTTGCTGCACAAACGTTTGACACTAATTTTGTCTGATTTGAAGAATGTGGGGGGGGCAACTTCACTCAAGTCTCTGAAAGTAATGACAGACCTAATTTGACAAAAATTTGAACAATTAAACTTTTAATTTGAAGAGTAAACTAAATTTTGAAAGTCTTTGTCAGGCGACCCAGTTGAAACAACCAGACCTCAAATTTGGTAAACGAGGAGGAACAACCAGAACCTTCCAGAGGTTTGGACACATGGGCTGTTTCCTGAAGCAGGAGCTGCTCCTCACCTCTCCAGAACTTCGTTGCGCCGGCGGCAGATGTCGGTTTTGGCGTAATGGTCGGCTCCGATCAGCTGTTCGGCGAAGGACTGCAGAGCGGCGATCTTCTCCTCCTGCAAACGGATCAGAAGTGGTTAAACTCCTGAACTGGGGCTGGGAGGAGCTCTAGAGTGGACCTCTGAGCAGGTCACTGACCTGAACGTTGATGGCCTTGTCAAAGTCCTCGTGCTTCTTGATGAGAGCCTCCACGCTGTCCAGGGAGTCGCCCTTATCATCGCTGTCCAGGAAGGCCTCCCGAGCCGCCATCCAGTTCTCGGCCTGCTCACAGTCCCTGCTAAAGAGCTGTGGAAGGACAACAGGCGCCATCAGGAAGGTTCAAACCATTTCTGGTCCAACGGGGTAGATCGGAGAAGAACTGATTACCTGGAGCTCCAGGCACTGGTCCAGCATCATGCGGCGCTGAACCCAGGCCTTCTCCAGGTCGGCACGCTCCCGGTCCAGAGCCTCCAGCTTCTGCTGGATCTCAGGACTGGCATAGTGACCTCGGGTCAGCAGCTGCTGGCCGAACTGTTCGAAGGCCTGGAAGGTTCCGGCGCGAGCGTCGATCTCCGTCCGGTGTTCCTAAAAAAACAAAACGGAGAGACAGTTAGAAAAACGATGGGATGCATCTGAATCTGCAGTTTATCCAGAACCAGGACAGGAAGTTCTGACCTGGTGGCGCTCCAACAGAGCTTCAGCTCCCGTCACGTCTTTTGCCAGCTCCTCCGAGGAAACCAACCCTCGGATCCCGTTGATCCAGGACATCAGATCCCTGCAAGGACAGAAGTTAACGTGTCAAACACTAAACTCACCGGAACCAGGGTTCTGTCGACAGCGGAGAGACCGGTTAGAAACCGAACCGCCACACAGATTCATTTCTATATAAAGTCGTGTCGTGCAGCCGCTCACCTGAAGTCGGACAAGAAACGCTGCAGGTCGTGGGAGTTCCCCAGCTTCTCCTTGCGTTGGTCGGCTCGCCCCACCAGGCTGCTCCAGGCCGTGTTCAGCTCCGTGCATTTCTCCTGGATATCGTCCACAGCCTCAGGGTGCGACTGGATCAGGCGCTCGGCCGTCTCTCCCAGAGATTTGACCTGTCGGACAGAAGGAGCCTCCATGAAGGTCTGCACAGCAGAACGCAGCGTTGGCGGCGATCAGTCTGCGATGATCGGACCTTATCGCCCAGAGCTGCCAGGTCCCTCTCGAAGCCTTCGTGTTTGCGCTGCAGCGCCTGAACGCTGGCCAAATCGTGGCCGTAGTTGTCCGTGTTGAGCGCCTGGTTCTTCTCCTCGATCCATTCTTTGGTTTCATCGGCGTCCCTGAGAGGAGGAGACGCGCAGCTCTGGTTGGTGGACGGCGTTCTGTAGGTTCTGCGTGGCATTAGGAAGGTAAACGTTACCTGTGGAAGCGCTGCACCTCATGGGCGCTGCCCAGCATGTTGCTGCGATCCTCGGCCAGCTGCTGCAGCGAACGCCAGCGATTGTTCAGCTCCTACAAACAGATGACAATCAAACACCATCCAGATCGAATCCTAGAAAGCTCTGAACGTCCACAGGGTCGCTTTACTCAGGACAGAGTTTTCTACTCACAGAGCCTTACTGAAGTAATCACACCCCTTTCAGTCTGTATTTCTTAAAATCTCAACTCCATAATAGTATTAAAATAATACCCAACATTCTCCTTTTAAGGACCCAAATACTTCTTCCATTGGCAGATCATCACATTTATCTACTCAAATTAAGACCAAATAAACTTGTTCTAAGAAATGTGGGACCTCAGATAATCTGTGTTCTGTTTCTGGTCCATACGGGTCAGGAAGGAAGTTCTGGGTCAGTTTGGTTAGGTTCTAAAATATCTCAGCTCTGTTCAATGCATCATCTGACCATAGACAAAAAACGTAAAAAAAAAATTTTTTTATTATTTTTTATATAGAAATATTGCCTTATTTGCTCAATAGCTTCCAGCTAATGGGATCAATTGACTCTAAATCAGTGCTGGATCACAGTACTCCATCATCTTCAAAAGTTACACCTTTTATTTTTACATTTTAAACTTTTAATCTTTTTTTTTATTAATTTTTATATAGAAATATTAGCATTTTTGCTGAATAGCTTCTAGGTAAGGTGATCATTTGACTCAAAATCAATGTTGGATCACAGTACTCAGTCTTCTTCAAAAGTTACGCCTTTTACTTTACATTTAAATTTTTTTAAATATTTTTTAAATTAATTTTTATATAGAAATATTAGCATTTTTGCTGAATAGCTTCTAGGTAAGGTGATCATTTGACTCAAAATCAATGTTGGATCACAGTACTCAGTCTTCTTCAAAAGTTACGCCTTTTATTTTTACATTTTTAATTTTTTATATTTTTTTTATTAATTTTTATATAGAAATATTAGCATTTTTGCTGAATAGCTTCTAGGTAAGGTGATCATTTGACTCAAAATCAATGTTGGATCACAGTACTCAGTCTTCTTCAAAAGTTACGCCTTTTATTTTTACATTTTTAATTTTTTATATTTTTTTTATTAATTTTTATATTGAAATATTAGTATTTTTGCTCAATAGCTTCTAGGTAATCTGATCAATTATCAGTGCTGGATCATAGTACTCCATTGTCTTCAAAAGTTACGCCTTTTACTTTACATTTAAATTTTTTTAAATATTTTTTAAATTAATTTTTATATAGAAATATTAGCATTTTTGCTGAATAGCTTCCAGGTAATCTGATCAATTATCAGATGGATCATAGAACTCCATCATCTTCAAATTTTTACATTTTATTTTTGGATGGAGCATCTGCAGACCTAGGAAGACATGCAGGTCCTAGAGTGGCCTAGTCAAAGTCCAGATCTTAATCCTACCAACAATTTACAGCAGAACAAGGAAGCAATGTCCTCAGATGTTCCCCGTCCTATTAAATTAGTAAAAAAATCAACCAAAAGAGCTGGTAGCCAAAGATGTTTCCCACAAGTACTTCTTTAACTGGGCTTGATCCAAATTTAAGCCCCACCTCCCAGATTATTAGATATCCTTCTACTTTCTAATGACCATTATCTCACTGGTTTTTGATCGGAATTGAGTCAGAAGGGGTGTGAATACTTTTGAAAGCCTCGTTAGCTAAACACAGCAGAGCGGGTGGAGCTAACTGAAGGTTAAAAAACTGACAAGCAATCAGGCAGGATGTTAGGGTCTGACAGGACTGGATGCAAGGAGGGAACAGAACAAACGGATTCCTGCAGCGAGCAGGAAGAACCATAAAAGGACAAAGGTGCGTTCAGGGTGGGGCGGTGATGGGGAACGGACAGGTGGGTGAGTTTCTGATGACGACGACGCATGACATGGGAGTTTGGGATCAGTCGGGTCTTACCTTGATGGTATTAAAGTTAGCCGTGGTTTGGACACCCAACCGTACGGTCTGAGGTCAAAGGTTAACCAAACAGGAAACACAAAACAACACCACAGCAGTCAGGAACCAGGCAGTGAAACCATGGCAACCAGTCTGGGATCAGTCAGAACGATCCCAGATGGGATCATAGAATCATACAGCATCAGTTTTACTGATGGCTGTGAAACCGAACAGAACCAGAACCCGGCAGAGAGCCAGAGCTTCAGCTTACCTTCCACGGTGACGCACTCTTAGAGTCAGGGTCGTCCTGTTAAAAACAAAAAAATAAGAGTTTATATAAAGAAGATTCTCTCCTCAGGAATCAGGAAGGATGTTACTAATAGAAAAGAATCGGACCTTTCCAGGAGCAGATCCAAGCAGCTCTGTTTGCTGCAAACACAAAGAACAAAACAGGAAGTCAGACGGAACCTGGAGGAGCTTTTCTAGGTGGGAGCGGACAAGTGGAGCTCACCTGAGCCTGGACCATGGGGGCCTCCTCCGCCATCAGACCTTCAGACTCAAGCTCAGACGCCACTTTGTTGATGTCCCTCAGACGGGACTCGTTGGCCTTCAGGTCCTGGACGGGTCGACAGAACAAAAACCCATCAGAACCTACAAAACCCAGAAGGACATCTGGGTTCTCTAGGTCACTATCAGTTAGACTCAACTACAGCGAGCTAAACTCATTTAAATGTGGAGATTAGGTTATTAAACTAAACCGGTTAAGTTGAAACAAATTATTAAACCAATTTAAGTTCTATTAATAAGGTAAACAACTTAACTTATATGTTAAACTAATAGGAAACCTCCTTTATCAGATGTTTTAACCTCAGTTTATGTCGCTGCAGCTTCTATCTGCTCCATAAGTGTTTTTCTAAATCCACGCCGTTTTTTTTTTATTGTTTTTTCTTTTTCTTTTTTTGCCCTTTTTCTTTTTATCTAGAACATTTTTCATTTATTCTGGGGATGCTAGCTCTTTGATACAAATTCAGGAGGGTTTTTCCTTTCCTTCCTTTTAGGGCACTTTGTTTACTAGACCAACATTCCTAATTTAACTAACAAGTAACAAATTTAGGTTAAATAGCGATAACTTCAGTTTCTAATCTCACTTTAAATTGTTACGTTTAGGATCTTATTGAAGCTACTAAACTAACCAAATTAAATAATTCACTAACTGACCACTTTGGGTAGGTTATTAAGCAAGTTAAGCAGGTTAACAATAAACCAAGTAGCTTCAAGAAAACAGAATATTA